AGAGAGAGAGAGAGAGAGAGAGAGAGAGAGAGAGAGAGAGAGAGAGAGAGAGAGAGAGAGAGAGAGAGAGAGAGAGAGAGAGAGAGTCAGTCGACTCTCCCCACGGATGAGCTCCTGACTGAAGGATATTGTTTTCCCAGCATTGTGGATGTGAAGTCTTTGAAAGGAATGGAGAGGGAGGAGACAATCCCGTTTGCAACAGCAATGACGATAATTGCAGTTGAAGATGGGTGCAATGGAAAGGTGACAGGGAGGGGAGGGGAGGGGAGCAGAGCAATGGGAAGGTGATGGGAAGGCGCAGTGGGGCAATGGGCAGGGTGGCAGCAAGGGGCATGTGTTGTTTAGCTTGGTATGATATAGTGTAGACTTTCGTGTCACTTCTGTTCTCCACATTGTTTGCCTGTTTGGATCTCTTGTGGTCTAAGTGTAGAGATGGAATAGCTGAGGGTTATGCATGAATGTCTGCTGATAGATACGTCACCAATTCAAATCCTGCTGTTCAATAATGCTAGGGGCATCCCCTCTTAAAAAAAAGTGCACGACATGCCATGATGAAAGGTTCAGTGTTCTTAATTGTGTGGAAGGGCATAAGCACTTGTGAAAAAATTGAGCAAGGATTCTGATGGCATTTGCATCGAGGGTAAAACTCAAGATTTCTCTTTTCTGTTTTCGGTGATGCAAGCTGCGGTGATGAAGTTATTGAAAATCACCATTGCCAGTGCTTCTCGCATGTTGTCTGTGTCATTAGATGACACCATTTATGTGTGTCATTGAATACCATGGGAGCTTCTGGTGACGCTGGCTGTGGAAGCGAAGCAGTGCAAGAGTTAGTGGGTGAAGATGGCTGCAGTAAATGCTGTGAAAATTTAGCAGTTCGGACGTTTCATTATAGTGTGTTATGTTGTGCACAATTTCGTGGAGACACTGATCTGAGTGCCATGTGCAGTCTATGCTCCTGCATTTTTTCTCCTGATGGAGTCCATGTGGACTCCCATCTGCCAATCGCTTGTTTTTCATGTTCCCTTTGTCTTCATAGTGTGCTTGTGTGTACACGTGTGGAGGGTTGTGTGTTGTGTGCATGTGTTTGTCTGTGTGCACATCACGTGTGTGTGTGTGTGTACACACACACACACACACACACACACACACACACACACACACACACACA